TTTCTCAGTACACCGTATGGGAACGCCAAATCGTTGCGATTGTTGATGGACTAGGGGCCTGAGAACCATGACTCAAGCAGCTCGCGGCTCACATGGTTGTCACCTCTTGCGAGGATTTCGGACTCGTCAAACTTGAAATATGGCCGGGTCCCGTTGAGTGAGCTGCAACCTGGGAGTTGGCGTCTTTTTTCCTCACCGGCTGCATGCTCGGCGCAACCTGGGAGTTGGCGTCTTTCTTTCTCACCGCTGCTGCATGCTCGGCCAAATATGGCGAATATGATGATGATGACGGCGACCACGAAAATGATCACGATGATGGTGACGACGACTACGACAATTATTATGATAATGAGGATGACAATGATGATGATGAGAGTGATGATTATGATGAGGATGGTTGTGATGATGATGATAATGATGATGATGACGATGATGACAGTGACGATGGTGATGATTATGATGATGAATGTGACGACGTCGATGATGGTGATGATGATGATGTCGACTACGACGACGACGATGATGATGATGATGATAAAAATGATGATGATAATGATGATGATGGTTGTGACGACGACGATTGTGATGATGATGATAATGATGGTGATGATGGTGACGACGATGATGATAATGTTCCTTTTGATGATGATGATGTTGGTAACGATGACGATGTCGATGATGATGATGGTTACTACGATGATGACGATGATGATGACGATATTGCTGACGACGATTATTGCCAAAATGAATGTATATGCGGGATCCAGGTAGCAGCTAACAAGATGAAGATGATATTTGACGACGATGATGCTGTTGAAGATGATGGTGGTGACGACGATGATGGCTATGATGATGATGACGATAATGATGATATTGATGACGTTGATGGTGACGACGGCGACGACGATCATGATGATGATGGCGACGGCGTTGATGATAATGATGGCGACGACGGCGAGAAGGATGGTGATGATGGTGACGATGACGACGATAATGATGATGCTGATGAATTTGACGACGACGAGGGTGATGATGGTGATTCTGCTGATGGGGACGACGACGACGATGATGATGATGATGCTGACGATGATTATGATGGTGACGACGACGATGGTGATTGCTGTGCTGCTGAAGATGATGATGATATTTGTGAAAACGACGATGACGGTGATGATGATGATGACGATGGTGATGTCGTGGATGATGAGGTTGAGGATGATGCTGATAATGAACATGATGATGATTGTGATGATGATGTTAATGATGGTGGTGATGACGAATATGATGCCGATGATGATGATGATGATG